CGTGGCTAGACTAACTTGCAAAGCAAAATTATTTAGCTTTGGCTACTGTCTGTTTAGATTTTTAGGTTAGAAACCACAATGAGATGCTCCTTTTCTCCCTAAAAGAAATAGTTCCTCGCTTTTGCTTTTAACATCTGTGGGTGGAAATAGAAAGAAGTGTGAGGCACGCTTTGCGTGATGCACCAAGCAGCAGCATCTAAGAGAAGCAACACAGATCATTTAATTGACACAAACTGCATGAAGAAAAATCTCGACAACCTCTCCTGGTTGTGACTACAGCCGATTTGTTAGCCCTCAGCTATGGTTGCTCAGACACAAGTCTGCAGCAGCTGGAACCATGACCAGCTGCTTCACCAGCCATCCCACAGCCAGCGGCTTTGTACTTTTGCAGCTCAACTTTAAGGAGCTATAAATACATTACATTAAGTGTCATATCATCTTTCATCTTCATTGTGTCTGTAGGGTATTTCCATAAAGGGACTTAACTAGATTACTGCTGGATTCAAATCAAGCAGGATTCTTTGTTAAATGCACTGGAGATAAAATAGCAAGGAAAAGGGAAATTATGGCCCGAATAAAAGGTTGTACGAGACTTTTAGGGGTCTTTGACATGCAGTATATCATTTACAAACCAAAATCAAGGGAAACAAAAATGTTTTAAAAACAGCAAAAGTAAATAAGTTTGGATAAGATTGGAGGCATAGAACTAACCCAAAATAACATATTTATAGGAATAATTTGTGACTGGTGAAATCTACCACCCACCAGTTGTGCATTAGCAGTACTGGCATGTTATTTGTGTCCATGTTTAACTGCCACAGGCTCTGTTAATCTATTATTCTGATCTAAAATTACAGAAAGCTTTACGAATTCATGCTAAAATCCTTGCAATCAACCCACAAACACATTGTTAGTTATGATGTTACACTCCTAATATATATTTTTTACTCCCCAGATTTAAAATGTGACTTGTCATTGTCATGTTTGTGGCTTTATTCAGTAACTTGTTTTTTTTTTTTTTGTTTGTTAGAGTAAAGCACCTGTTTATTTCAGAACTGATCTTATCTGTTCCTCCCACAGCAAAGCTGAAACAGAAGGGTGTTTCTTAAAAACCCTCTAGAATGCGTGTGCACGTATTGCCACAGTGACTGAGATGACACATGAACACTTACGCACATCAACTTTATTCAAATTAAAGTTTATGCGCTTCAACCTGACCGTTCACCAAGTTAACATGAAACAGCTAATGTGACGCATCACTCGTTGCAGAAAGCTCCACAGCCTCAGGAGATGTTATCCAGTGTTAAACAGTCAGGCCAAATGTTAAACACGCAGAGCCCTGATAGAAGTGGGCGGCTCCACAGACGGTTCTGTTAGCATGTAGCATTAAAAAATATCACGTGTGTTGTCCGTCTGGCATTATTTCACACTGAAGATTTTTTTAGATTGAAAGTAATTCAAATGTGCTTATTCTAACATAAACATGGAAGCAGAAAGCTTGGCTTGCTTCAGGCTCCTGTAGAAAAACTGTTTTCTCATTTAAAACAGGCTTCTGGCTGTTTTCCAGTCTGTGTGTTACCGGGTCACTATATACCCTCCATGGATAAAGTGATCTAAGTCTGACAGTTCCTTTGAAATTTTGAAACTGAAATATTCAATAAGATTTACAGCTCAGAAAGGGGACTTTTTAGCCAAACCCATTCTAAAACTGAATCTACTTGTTTTACCTTGAAAATGACAGAAGTTTTTTTGTTATAAGAGTTTATTTGAAATATGTTTGTTTCTTGACTAAAAAGTCTAATAGACCGAGGTTTCAACTGTGGGTCATGAGTTATTGTTTATGGTACCTTTCCTTTCACAGTCACATGCTCTGGAAAATCCTTAATTCTGTCATTAAACATAACTGCAAATTTCTGCTAAATATCTGAAAACTTCACGGATGCAAGAATATTAAATATTACCTGCTGTGACATCATAAATGTGGCAATCCACTTACTGGGCAGTGTGTGTGTGTGTGTGTGTGTGTGTGTGTGTGTGTGTGTGTGTGTGTGTGTGTGTGTGTGTGTGTGTGTGTGTGTGTGTGTGTGTGTGTGTGTGTGTGTGCGTGCGTGTGTGTGTGTGAGAAATCATTTAACTTGTAGGGAAATGTTACAAGGTTTTTGAGGATCATCAGATGTGTCATCTTGTACCATCTCAGAGCTGAAATGTTACATTCACTGAATTTAATCTGGGACCTGAAATTAATACATTAAAACATATTATTAATTAAATAATATTAACATCAAATTGCATACTTTTCACAGAGGAAAATCCCTACAGACTGATTGTTAAACCAACAGAACAGAGTCACCTGCTGGATGCTGAAGATAATCCACCTCTGAGCAGTGTCAGGATGATGAAAAATGTCACAGCTGTTTGATAAAAAACTGAATCAAAGCAGATTGAGTCATGTGGTTAAATATGGTATCGTTTTGTGCTCTGTGATGGTAAAAATCAGCTACTCAGGATGGCTAATTCTCTGTTTTCTTGTTAGATCTTAGATTCACTGTGAGTGTTTGGTGTCAGCAGGGCTTGTCTGTGCAGTGTCTGTAGTCACAGCTGTGTGTCATTTTGATTCAACACAACCCAGCGTCTTTCTCTGCTACTTCCCTGGCAGTGAACCCGGGGACGCCCTGACCTCCCAGTTACCCCGTCTCACTGAAACCATCGGTGGTCAAAATGAGTTCAACATGTAGAGTCCCAGCAATCAAGAGCATCTTCTGGGGCATCTTTTATTAACAGCAGCATTAAATATTCACCCACAGTGTCAGCCGTTCCCCTCCACCTCTCGGTCTTCACTCCCACTTTGACTCTTCATGCAGTAAAGAGACAGTCATGTTAGACTGAGGTCCACATCTGATTTGTACAATTCTTCATATTTGCAAAATAAATGTTAATTTACTGACCTAAATGACATTTTCCTTATTGGTTATAACCACACGGTTGGGTGTTCTTGGGGTTCTGTTTCATGATTTTTATGTCTTTGAATCAAAACAGCCCATACGAAGATAAAACACAGGTTTTAACTGTTAAAGGCTCATAATCAAGTGCTTGTCAGAAAATCCCAGGGTTTCTCAGTTCAGGGGACATGGGTATTTTCCTGCTTCAATGCATCTGCTCTGAGTTTTAAGGGACCCTAGAGTTTACAACCACATTTATCTTGTTATTGTTGAATAAAAACAGCTAGTGTGTCTAATGTAGCATACCAGGAGTCTGTTCCATCACCTATCTGCTTTCCTATGTGATCATTATTGTTAATATGGCTGCTAAGAAACAGCTTTAGGACACACCTTTTTACATTAGCATGCTCCATCCCTCTTCAGTGTCAGCAACATATAAATGTCGGTTATGGTAATGCCAACCACAGAACAATGCTAACCCGAGCTACAGTACTGGTAATGCTATCCCAAACTACTCCTAATGCTAGCCCGAGCTGCTGCTAATGCTAACCTTACCTAATGCCAGCCTGAGCAGCTAACACCCATGTTGGACGAGAGGAAACCAACAAAAAAGGATGTCGGAGCACCACTCAACTTCCAGAATGTACTGGAAACATCTGGACTTTGAATGAATGTGTATTTTGGACCGTGCCAGTCATGAACTTTGACATTTAACAGCTTGTAAATATCCATAATTCCTATGACTAAAAATCCGACGTTGACACGTTGCATATATGGCATCACCACAGAATCTCCTTTCCTCTAGCATAGCCACTACTTACCACATGGCCAGATGTATGGTAACTATTTCCTCCTGAAGGAATGTTTTGAAGCTGGATGAACTTATTCCCTCTGCTTTTCTCCGTATCTGGTTCAATTCTGTCGATTTGGTGAAGCACATTTATAGTCTTGAACCTTTTTTCACACAAAATCTGAAATAACTTTTTCTCCCGTTCAAATATAAGCACTTTATTGGCATAAGAATGTGTCTTTAAAATTCACGGACATCATATGTGAAATCCATGACACATAACAAACAGAATTAGGAAATAGCGTTTTTAACCCCTTCGACTTGCATTCATTTTTTTTTCATTCTTCTGGGGACCCATGGTCTGGAAGTAGATGGGTGTGTCTTAGGCATTTATTGTAAAAAGTCTCCTTTCTAAGACATCTCTAAATAATAAAAAGTGCTTCTTAAGCTGCTGAGGTGATTTTTTTCTTTGAGCTTGGAGACAGCTGACCCAAAGACCAGGGCAAGAAAACACTGTTATAGAGCAGGGTTATTCAACTTGAGGTCTCAAGGGCCAGTATCCAGCACATTTTGGTTTAAACCTGCTTCAGCACACTTTATTTCAATCAGCAGGTAATTAACAGGCTTCTGCAGAGCCTGATGAGCTGCAGCACAGGTGATTCAACCACTGAATTAAGTGTGTTGGACCAGAGAAACCATTGAAACCAGCCCTCAAGGCCTGGAATTGATGATGTAAAGGAAAAAAACTTGCATCTGTCTAATACTGATGGTGAAGGCTGCAAAGGAGAAACTGAATAAATTAAACAAACATGGATGTAAAAGCCATGCCAACATCAACTTCAGGGACAAAAACTTAAAAAAATTATTTCCAAAGTAGAAATAGATGCATGAAATGTTTGTTGGTGTATTTATACAAAGTGGCTGGTGTTGTCCTGTAATTTATTATCTCCTCCCTCGTGTGGCATGAGGGTCATTCACAATGATTGGATGATACTTCCCAAGACTGTGCATTTCAGAAGTTATTGCAATTATTCCTTTATTCTTTTAACAAGACATTTAATTTATTGGTTTTCTTTAGTATATGAAGAACATTTCAGGCAATGTGACAAATAATGTTATAGAAATACGTTGTCTACGCCACCTTTAAAGTTCCCATATCTGGTCCAAAATCAGCTAATCGAAATTACATTTAAACTAATGATTGGGTATTTAACGTCTGCACGAATAACTTTTTTCATAAATGTAAGGTATTTTTTCTTGCTCTCCTCTAGGAGGATGTTCCCCTTTCTGAGCTTTAATATCAGTGTTCTGGATCCGTCGGCTCACTATAACGTCTATGTGGACGTGGTTCTGGCTGATCAGCACCACTGGAGGTACCAGGGCGGGAAGTGGGTCCAATGTGGGAAAGCAGAGGGCAACATGCCAGGTACGTGTACATCACCATGGTCTATATTAATCATTTCACAATGTATTTAAAAATAATAGATGAAATAACAATAAAAACAATTAAAGTACAGGACTGGTTTTACAAAGAGTTAAATAAAATAGACTCAAATGTAATTAAATGTACTGAAAATGAAAAAAATTGTTTGAATTTACATTTTATTCCTATTTCATATTTATATTTTGTAGCATACCAGCAGGAAAGCATCTGAAAAATATAAATCACTCAACATAATGAATAAACACCTTTAGAGCAAATGTCAGTTTCAAGTTAGTCCCACCTAGAGTCAATAATGTTAGAAGTGTATTAATTTTACTTACTATAAAGTAGACTTGCTACACAATTTGGGATTTTTGAACCATTGCTACTTTTCTTTATATTATTGTTAGATGCTGAACATCTGCTATTTTTTTGCAGTTTTAACTTGCAGATGAAAAGGCACCGTTATTCAAATGTGCACTAAAAATACCAAATAACAATTTCTAAGGAATATGAGGATGTTTTAATGAGCATTGTTGGGATTTCTTTAATACAGAAATCGTAATGTGATTGTTTCAACTTTATGGTATTAAAACTGTTACTGTGTAAAAAAAAAAAAATAAAATAAAATAACTAACATTGCTTTTTATGTTGGTGTGGAAGTTAAAAGGTTAAAATGATTTTATACAAACAAGTCTTTACAGTAACACTTACCCCCAGCAGCAAACATTAAGAATAGAAATGTCTACTTTCTTTGTGAGCCGAGCTTTATCTCATCATTGATGGTCAGAAATCAGCTTGTGAACAACACGTCAATCTCATTGGAGGAGTGAGGCCTTTATAGAGTGTGCAACCTGGGAGATCTGAAGGAAGTGGTTTGTCTAGCAGTACATCCACCAACATAGGGAACCAAAACATGCATCATGATGCACCAGAGGGCTGGAAGCCTTTTGTGAACAATCTGGTGATGCTTTTTCAACTCTTCCAGTCAGCAGCACATTTCTGCACATGTTGCAGAATGTGATGACATCATTTTTCTATTTTGGTTGAAGCATTTCTTTAAAGGCTTCTTCCTGTTCCAGAGAAGCATCTGCAGAACAGACAAACACATAAATGTATCATAGAGTATTATTATTAATCAGTGGTTCTGCAGAATATAACTCATTGACAACATTTTTTTGTCTCGAATTTTAGGTTATGGTGAATTTTGCACGCAGTTGGACAGCTCTAGGACTTATCAGAGAAATTAACAATGTGACGTATTCACTGCTACCCATGTCGGTCAACGAAGCAGTTTGCTATACACCATCAAAGAAGTCGCAAATCCATCCTTTTTATTAAGGATTCAAGTGTGTCTATCTGCTCATGGTTCAATGAAATACCCAGGTCTAAATCGGCCAAAGTTGATACCAAAGCCACTTCAAAAAGGCGCTGTTCCTGAGCTGATACCATCTTTGTAGTTTTTTCTCTGTTGCAGCTCTAGTGCTAAGTCTGCCAAACAAATGTAAAGCACCGTGACTGGCAAGACACACTTTTCTCTTTTCTGGGCTGCATGGTGGTGCCCTTGTTAGCACTGCTGCCTCGTAGCAAGAAGGATGCAGGTTTGAATCCCAGCTGCGGTCTTTCTGCGTGGGTTGTATGTTCCCCCCATGCATGCGTGGGTTTCCTCAGGGTACTCCGTTTTCCCCCATGGATCACAACCAGTAGCGGTTTTAGGCACGGGCCGACAGGGCAGTTGCCCGGGGCGGCATTTTTTCATGACACAAAAGGGGCGCACAAGCGCGGAGTAAAAAAACAAAAAAAGGAAATCTGCGCCACACCGAGGTTTTCTATTATCTGTCATATGACAGTGTCTGGATTGGAAACAGCAAGTTGGCGCCCCCTGCAGCTGCAGGCGCTCCTGCTGACTGAGAACGTTCACGTGCACCGTGTGTCTATGAAGAACAGGAAGGGGAGGGGTGTGGCGGGGGAATTCACCTCTGCGTCTTTCCCAAATGAAATGAGCGTGCAGGGGCTGAATCAACTGTATTAACATGGCTAAAGTCAATCACATCTTAACGTTCTTCCATATTTCATTCATAATATCATAAACACAGGCCTATCATTCTTTCAGGTTTCTCTGAATTGTGTGGAAATGGCCAAATTAAAAAAGGAAAAACAAAACGATTTTGTGGTCACCCCCCCATCAAGGTCAAATTGTTTAGTCCTGACTAAAGGAAACTTACTGAGTCAGGAGCCAAACAGAAGAGATGAACATAAAAAGGCTAAAACCACCAGGTGCCCCATTCAGGGGGAAAAGGAAAAAAAAGAAAAAAGAGGAGAAAGATAAAGGTATGTAGCTCTCATGATGCATGTTTTCAATTTTTTGAACCAGTTAACTGTGATTTTAACGGTTAAATGCGGTCAACTAATTGCTAACAGAGCTAATAGGGCTGAAATATTGAAACGAATATTCAAATGGTTCGAAAAAAGTCCTTGAATTGTTTTTTACTGATTCAAACTAGGATTTGTTAAATGCTCACTGCAGCCTGTGGCCTGCCTGAACAACAACAAACACATGTTGATCATGTTCACATAATAATAAATAAAACAACTCTACAAGCAGAAGAAAACTCCCCAGTCACCACTAACTATCCTGTTTATTTATTGCAGATGGCTGCACTGATTATTTTTACATGATTTGTTCTGTAAAAGTTGGCATTTTTGGTAGTCTACAGTTTTTTATGTCAGTTTAAATTACAATTTCAGAGGCAATTCTAAAATATTATGGATCATGATAAAGATCTATTGGAGATCTACCCCAACTTTTGGACTGCTCTGCCAGTCACTGTGGCTCAAGCTGAGAGGAGCTTTTCAAAACTTATACTTGTACGGGGAGTAATTCGATGTAGAGCCGCCACTGATCACAACATGCCACATAGATTAACAATTGTACATTGCTTTGGATAAAAGCATCTGCCAAATAAATGAACATAAACATAAACAGCTCAAGCCAATGGTAGACTTGCAGAGGCTACAATGGAGCATGGCTTGACCAACCTGTAGAGCAAAATCTTTTGACACTGCAATGGTTTGTTTAGACTTCTGAGCTAGACCCATAGTGTAAAATGTGTGAAAATAAAACTTGTTGTGTGTGTGAGTGGGGGGGGGGGGGGGGGGGGGGGTTTAATTACAAATTTCAGCCAAAATATTTCACCACATTCTAATCATGTTCTTGTGCTTTTACACTCACCATTTTGGCTCTGATGTTTATCCGTGTAATGCCAAATGTACCATTTGTAATACACCAATTTCTAGGGTTTAAAAAGTACAACACATCTGACAAGATTAGCAGTTTTCTTCAAAAACTGGTTGTACTTAATCCTGTTCATGTACTGTGTCCTCTGGTGTGGGATCTCAGTGTTGCTAGTGGAAATAGCTATTTTCTTTAATTTTATCTTGTATTACCTTTAATTACGTCATACAATGTCACAGATAACCTTTTCACTGTTATGATGACATCAGCCAAAACAAAGACTGTTTGTCTGGAGTTTTCACATTTTTATTTCATGCACCAGATTTGAAAGGGTTAATCCAAGTATAAATCAGAATAAGCAAGCACAAGAAGTGAATCAAAAGAATGCAGACAAGAGATTTATAACAGATGGTAAAAAAAACAGATTAAGCTGCTATGCCACATACCTGATTTTTCAAAAATCAAGGCTTGACCCCTCTCTCCTTAGCAGCTTCAGACCCATCTCTAAACTTTCGTTCTCTCCAAGATCTTGGAAAAGGTCGTGGCTAAACAGCTCACAGCTGCTCTTGATGAACATAACATCTATGATAGTTTCCATTTAGGTTTTTGTAGAGCTCATTCTACTGAAACAGCTCTTCAGGGTTTCTAATGGCCTTCTGACCCACAGTGATGCAGGGAACTGTTCTGTCCTGGTCCCGCTGGACCTGACCGCAGCCTTTGATACTATTGACCATCACCTGCTACTGGAGAGGCTGAGAGACTGGGTAGGCCTATCAGGATCTGCTCTGGAATGGTTCTCCTCTTATCTGTATGAGTGTTCCTTCTCTGTGTCTGTCTCCAAGTTTTGGACATCCACCACTTTGTATATTGACCACTTGGTACGTTACAACTTCCCTGACCCATGGTGTCCCACAAGGTTCCGTGCTGGGGCCTCTACTTTTTCTCCTCTATCTGCTTCCTCTTCAGCACATCGTGAGCTCGTTCAAAGGAATCTCCTACCATCTTTATTCAGATGACATCCAACTGTACATCTCCTTTAAGCCCCATGACATGTCTAAGCTGCAGCTGTTACACTCTTGCTTCCGGCATGCATGATTCAGTTTCATTCTGGTTGTTGTCAAGTAAACATTTCTGTCTGTTGCACGGATGTGTTGCAGGGATCGGAGCGGGGTTTGAGGACACGCACAGCAGTGAGAGAACAGGGAACAAACTAATAAAATATTGTGGTTCAGAGTCTTCAAAAGCAACACAGCTCACGCTCGCCTTTATCTCAATAAGGACACCATGGACGTTCCCGTCTTTGATGCTGCCCACATATTGTGAGGTTTCCACATTCCTGAAAGTCATTGGGAACCAAATATGAACAGAAAACGCATGTATGAGACCGAACCAATGCGATCCCCCCGACCGTACTGACCCAGATGTGGAAGAAGCTAAAGTCAGAGACTGTCTTGGTCAGCTTGCTTCTCACACCAAACCCTCTGCTAGGAATCTTGGTGTGACCATTGACCCAGCTCTCACCCTGGATTCTCATGTCAGTTCTCCCTTCTTTCATCTCAGGACCATTGCTAAGCTGAGTCCAATTCTATCACTTTCTGAACTTGAGATTGTTGTCCACACCTTCATCTCCTCATGCTAACTTGTTTCACACTGGAAGCATCAAGTGGTGCAGAACGACAGCGGAACGTTTTGCTCGCGAGCTTTAATGCAGTCCATTACACACCGGGAGTGTCTTGGCCATGGAACAGCTTCCTTGCTGTGCTCCTCCTGGACTCGTGAGATCACAAAATCCCCTGAGACTTCAAAGGTTACAGTTTGTTTATGCAATTTGCCATTAAACCAAAAAGAAGGAAATCACGTTTGATATCGCTGTTTGATGTCATGCATGATGTTGTTCCTCTCCAATGCCTGGATTAAAGCCATGAAAACACGCCACTGCACTTCTGGAATGATGCTTTGATTAAATAAGCCATTGGGTCACACATAAGTTTCATATATATGAAATTGCATTGCTACAGGTCTTTTATTTTGAAAATTACCAGGGATTTTACACTGAAATCATGTGCAATTTCCTGTGTAGCCCTATGTTGACTGCAGAAATAGACGTGTCCCAAAAGCGACTCATGGCAAAATTAGAACTCGATCTTATCTTTAGCAGTGAGGCGTGCCGCTTCTGAAAAGCACCTGAAAATTGCAGCGTCACAGCTGGTTTGAAACACTCCATAGATTATAATGGATTAAATTTGAAGCAGTGACATTCCACTTCCGTTCCACGCCGCTGATACTTGCAGTGTCAAATAGACTTTAGGCTACTGCAACTCTCTTTTCACTTGTCTGAGCAAAACCTCCCTGAATCGTCTACAGGTGGTTCAGGATGCCTGTGCTCGTCTTCTGACTAAGTCCTCCAAACACACTTACATCACCCCGCTTCTCCTCCAGCTTCACTGGCTGCCAGTAAAATTCAAGGTTCATTTCAAGATCCTGGTTCTGGTCTATAGGGCCTTACATGGACAAGCACCATCATACATTGGTGATCTTCTCAGTCCCTACACCCCCAGCAGATCCCTGAGGTCCAGTGATCAAAGCCTACTGGTTGTGCAGCGCACCAGGCTAAAAACCAAAGGTGACAGATCATTTGCTGCTGTGGTCCCCAGACTCTGGACTTCTCTCCCCCTGAATCTGAGATCAGTGGACCCAGTGGTCTCCTTTAAAAAGCAGCTGAAAACTCACCTGTTCAAGCTGGCTTTGGTGTGACCTTCACCACCACCCTCTCCTTATTCTGCTCCTTCTACCAATTCTCCTTTTCCCGGGATCCACTGATTACCTCATCTTCATTCTTTTTCTTTTTCCTTTTCCTCACATTTTTAACATAAATTTTTCCCCATTTTTGTGATATTATTTTAGGCATTTTTGACTTTTTAATTTCTTTATTTTTGTTTCTATTACATTTTTTGTTCTTGTGAAGCGCCTTGTGACTTTTATCTTGAGAGGTGCCATGTAGAAATTTGTTTCTTCTTCTAGCCCTCCCACTGTCTTCATGGGTGACCCCGCCAGGAAAGTTGACCTTTGAGCAGGATTGATGGTTTATCCCTTGAGGTCCACGTGACGGAGTGAGGTGGTGCTCACTCCTGCCACGTGGACCTCGAGGGATAAACCATCAATCCTGCTCAATGGTCAACTTTCCTGGTGGGGTCACCCATGAAGACAGTGGGAGGGTTAAATAGACAGACAGACGCATCTTCTGTATGTTACTGAACGATTGTAATCTTGATTGATTTTTATGTACATTTCCTCTCAGACATTTGCACTGATTTCATGACCCTGTTTCCCTTTAGAATAAAAATTTACTTTCAATTGCTTGAAATATTTAAAGCTTCTGTGGCAAACCTGTTTGATTTATCACACCTTCCTAAATCCTCAGGAAGTAAAACACAGTAATATAAAGTCAACCAAAGAGGTGCTTTATGTGCGATTGATGTTAAACAAACCACAATAATAAAAAGTAAAGAAACTGCAGATGTTGTCACACTTGTGCCAAGGGTGAAAAGGTGAATGCTGATGTGCTACAATTGTGGAAACTGTGGTGTAACAACTTTTTACTATTACATTTTATAATGCATTCCTGTGGCGCACAAATTAGGTTAGCAGGTCACTGTAATACATGCTGTGAAAAACCTTGGAACTGAAATAGAATGTTTTGTTGGAGTAGCTAGCTGTTTAACATTAACCGTCTACCTGGCAGGTAAACAGTAGATTTTAGTCCCTTTATCTTATTGGAGGATGTGCTGAACTAAGGTAAAACAAGTGGCGTAAGACTGGAGGGATTAATTACCAGAGACAGAGTTTAGTTTTATTGTTTAAAGCAGAAAGAGGCCAATGAGATGCTCACGCTCGATGTTTTTGTGCTTCAGCTCAGAGGCCTCCCTGGTGAGGTGTTTTTGAGGCTCACCGCACACTTTATTGATTACAGGAAACAGAACCTACATGCATCCGGACTCTCCCAACACAGGAGCTCACTGGATGAGACAAGAAGTGTCTTTCAGCAAGTTAAAGCTCACCAACAACAAGGGCAGCACCAACAACGTGGCACAGGTAAACAGACTTTATTATTTCTCTGTAAATCCAATCCGTTGATGTCACCATACTCACTCCCGACATACAGGACTGTGCAAAAGTCTTTTCTTACTGCCTATTGTGATCCTTTCCAGCAGCCAGATTTTTCTGATCAATGGCTGAAGTCTTCCTTCAGATTTTAGATACTTTTCCACTCACTTGCACTCACTTCTGCCTGAACACGACAGTGATAGTGTTTTGAAAAAGGCTAAAGAAGTAGTGTCGAGCCACAAAATCTTTCTCATTTAGTTGATCATTTATGACAAGTTTTTAGCTAGCAGCTCTTTGGAGATAACCATGCAAAATGTAAAATGCTTCCTAAAAAGGCCAAAGGTTCTCATTTGGGATCAGTTCTTTACCCAAACATGTTACTCACTGGTCTGTTTGTTGGAAACAAGTCATAGTAATCCCAAGGGGGTTTCCAAGGTATCACTTTGAGTTAGGGGCTAGACATTTATAGCTTGAGTGAGATAAATGTTCTCTCAAAGTAGTCTCAGAGACACTGTTAGCACCAGGCTTCTGAGAGTCAATATTCAAAATACAGAGTGAGGAGTTGGAAGGTAGATGAAGGAAAAGTCCAAACAAACCGAGATGATTTTATGTTTTTTCTCTGTCTCCAGATGATAGTCCTCCAGTCACTCCACAAGTATCAGCCTCGTCTTCACATCGTGGAGGTCAAAGAGGACGGTTCTGAGGACCCTTTCCTGTCTTCTAAAGCTCAAACTTTTGTCTTTCCGGAGACTCAGTTCATCGCTGTCACTGCTTACCAGAATGCAGACGTAAGTCACTTTCACTTACCAAGAAGAAACAAGTGTTTTTTTATTACCTGTACAGCTTAAGAAGTGTTGATGCATCAATGTGAGGCACCAGTAGCACAGGAGTTAAGTGCTCGTCCCATAATCTGAAGGTTGCAGGTTCGAGCCCCACTCTGTCGCTGTCGTTGTGTTCTTGGGCTAGACACTTAACCCCCCTTGCCTGCTGGTGGTATTCAGAGGGACCGTTGGCGCCTGTGCTCAGCAGCCTCGCCTCTGTCGCACCCCAGGGCAGCTGTGGTTACATTGTAGCTAAACCCCACCAGGGTGTGAATGGGTGAATGACAGATTGTGTTGTAAAGTGCCTTGGGGGGTTCCAGGAATCTAGAAGGCGCTATATCAAATACAGGCCATTTACCATTTATTTACCATCACACCAATCCAGCTGAGAATCACTCAACTTTGTGCCTCACGTCTCTGTGTGCTGTCATTTCTGACGACCACTCAGAAACATTTGAGTGTCTCAGCGTGCTAAGACCAGTTGTACTGGTCTGGTTTGGTGTGCTCACCCACTCTCCAATTCCACAGATCAAGTCTTTCCAACACGAGGTTATTAATTATTAGTCAGTGGCCTCCACTCTAACTGCTCTCTTGTTTCTCTGTTGCTCACTCCCTCTCTTTTTCCTTTGCCTGTGTTCTCCTCCTCCTGTTCCCTACACAGATCACTCAGCTGAAAATAGACCATAACCCCTTCGCTAAAGGTTTCCGCGACAATTACGACACGTAAGTCATTTGGAAAACACTCAAGAAAATTCACAACAAATCCTCTCGTTTTGCACTGGATTGAAGGACATTGTGTGAACTTAGCATAAATAATGAAACTGGATCGCTGCTGGCTACGAAATGCCTTGAGTGCTCATGTCACCTATTTTATATTAAAATAGATGCAATTACTGTGCTGCTGCTGCTGAGAATGCTGAAATGGAAGGGTGTGAGGGGCTGTGAGATGTTTGATAGTTGTTTGAGGTTTGGGCAGGAAATAACACCTTCTTCTTTTTCCTTTTCTTCTCACACTCACTTCTCTTCCCCTCCTCCTCCCTCCTGCCTAGGCTCTACGCTCCTCCCGACTCTGATCGCCTCACCCCTTCACCTACAGAGAGCCAGCAGTTGTTACCAGGGAGCTGTTACACCCAGGGCTACCTCACAGAACCATACATGAGCCCCTTGCCGCAGAGCCGCTTCTATGGCCGTGAGCCCATCAGCATGGGCCAGCAGCACAAAGACCCGTCCTCCAGCCCGGGACCCCACAGTCGCTGGTACCTGCCACCACAGCAGAGTGTGGCACCAAACCGGCTTGATTTCACTTCCTCCTATGAGGGTGACTTCTCTGGGAATGGTTTTTACAAGCCTTTCCCTTTGCAGACGTCTGCTCACCATGCCCTCAGCTACTACCCAGAGCATCCTTTTGCATCCACCAGTGTGTCGGTATCAGGAGCCACCTCGGCTGGGTGGAGCACCAGCCGACCCACGCCACAGTACCTGACTCATCCCAGCAAACCAGCCCCCAGTCTGGGTTGGTTTAGACCCATATCTTGCTCTTCCTCCTCCTCATCGTCTTCTACGCCTCCTGGTAACCCCAGGCTGCTGCATCCTCCCACTCTCCTTGAGAGCCTGCAGCTACCCCTGCTGCAGGACAAACCCAAAGACTCTGTGAGCGTGACGATGGAGGACCCTTGGCTTGAACCGCCCTCTGGGAAATCAGCTGACTCAGCCGACTCGGGTCTTTTTGAGGGCCGCAAGAAGAGGAGGGTGTCACCCTACACGTCCAGCACTGAAAACTCCCCACCTCCACGTGGTGGAGACATCTGCGATAAAGACAGCAACAGCGATGCAGACTACTATGGCTACTACACCCACTGAAGGCCTCACACTTCTCCACGGACGAGTCAGGGTCTTCAACATCTTCCCACACCACCATCGTGGACACACAGCTGTTCAGTCAAGTGAAGGCAAAGGGCTGGAACAGTCAATGTTTGTTCATGCACCAAAATCAGACAGTCGAATTTGAACGCAAAACTTAACCAGGGACGAGACTTTAATTAGCCGCTGGCTAATAAGCAGCCCAAAGGCTGCATTATTTGATATGTAACATTGTTATTTTTTATTATTATTTGTCCCTGTATAAATAAAGACTTTAAATATACATAAATCCACACAGTGAGGTCATCCACTCTGTAAAAAGTCCCTTTTCAAAAGTGTCAAACGATTACAGGAGGAACTTTAAAAAAGTCAAAGTGAACAAAAGTGGGTGTGACTGTGACGTTGCCCTGCAGTCACATAAACAACAAACAAACAAACACACAGAGGTGTGACTTATGTCTTTGAAACATTTGGAGATTTGAAAAAAAAGATCTACATATCTGCTTGCTGACAGCTGCCTGCGGGCATTGTCTGTTCTTTCTGCATCAAACACTCTCTTTAACCGTTTCTGTTGCGCTTCTCACCCTCAACCATTCACACACTTCCTCACAATATGCTCACGTTTGTTTCCCCAGATCCTTCTGAGCAGAACTTACATTTAAACAGCATCATCACTTTCCAGTTAGGCCCAAAATGTGTGGTGCAGTGCCCACTAGTGGTGACAGTGGACTTTTACAGGTACATGGGGAAGAATCTGAAGAGAGAGAGAGAGAGAGAGAGAGAGAGAGAGAGAGAGAGAGAGAGAGAGAGAGAGAGAGAGAGAGAGAGAGAGAGAGCTTGACATCCTGACAATACCCAGACTGCAACCTTATTGTGATAAACCAAACTATCCACTTTTTCTGAAGTCGCAATCAGACATCAAAGCTCCTCTAGATAATTAAGAATTGTCTTCAAACTATTACAGCTTGTTTGTATAATCATTCAACAACAGAACAATGACTGCATTAAAACACTTGATTTATTTTTCAACCTGGTATCATCACACAGGAAGATTGGATTTTACATTTCCTTTAATTTCTCAGTTTTTATTTATGTCATTTAAAAATCATCCACCTTTATGAACTATTAGTTATTCAAGAAAATGTGTGTGTGCTTTGCTGATCAAAAATAGCTAAGTGAAATTAGAAATCTAGTAAAAGCTCAGGAAGATATTTTTAAATAAATACATGTTGGTAAATTATACTATTTCAAAGTAAAAGCACATGTGAAAACATTTTTGAATATAGCATTTTTTTATTCAGATAGTCTGCTCCAAATAATTCTAATTTATCCCATTTCAAGTTTTTGTTCAAATGAACTTTTTGTTGTTGTTATTATTATTATTATTATTATCATCATCATCATCATCATCATCATCACCATACTTGGCTGACTGACACTTTTTTATACTTTTTTATCTTCAAGATGATTCAAATTGTTCAAAAGGCAAAGCTAAAATTGATAATAATGTTTCTAAATGAATTAATGCAATAACATAATGAAGATGGAGGCTTTAGGATATAATAATGCTGTTGTGAAAACCTGACTAGAGTCACTGTTATGGTGTTTTAGCAGCACTAATGTGAAAAAACCAGGATGAAATCAATGATTTTTGATGTACCTCACAGACGCCAGCATTCAATCGCACAGTTACTTCTTTTGGAACCATTTAACTGGCAAACAATTAAAATTGAATTTCTGTATGTTTCTCAGCTTATAAAGAATGAAAACAGCTCAGGTCTGAATAATAACATTCTTTAAACTAATAGACAAATCATTCCTTCTACTCTGCAGTCGGTGATGTAGTCGGTGGGAGTTTCTGAAGCTCTTTAGCAGCTCTTTGGACACATGCTGGCAGCTTTGAGGTGAGGCGATGTGTGAAGTGATAATCATTCAGAAAAGCTTTCCACCGTGTCTTTAGAAGTGAGAGATCTGCGTGGAGGGTCAGAGGGAGATGAATAATAGATCAAACTCTGGAAAACGACTTGTTTTTTTCGGCACAAAAAAAACTGTCCCGGTTTGGAGTTTTAACCAGAAGTTAGTCCCACTATAAACTGAACTGATGATGTTTCTCTTTTCTCTCAGCTCTACGCAAGGTTTCATGTTTTAAACAGCGGCAACTGTACTCAGGCTTGCTTATAGAGAGTGTAAAGGTCGTGACCCTGCAACATTTGGTCAATATTAAAATGCTCCTGTCACCACACAAAGCTAACAGTCAATATCAGTATTGATAACATGTAGAGGGGGGGGGGGGGGGTTGCCGGCTAAAAACACACAATGACCCATGGAAGCTCTCTCTGACTTTGTGGTATTTTGAGTTTAAACAATAACTGAATTTATGAATGAGCGATGACAGCATTGCTCCACATTATCCCCAGACTGCTGCACAGTTGGGAATGGACGAGGCTGCTCTTGTGATATTTGTAGGTAAACAGAAAAGGAGCTGTCACCCACAGACTTCCTTAAACAGGAAGCACAAAGTGACCAGACAGACACTCTGAATTTCCCCCCTGGCATCGTGCGCTGACCCCGGCTGTCAGCGGCCCGGTTCCCAGCCCGCTGACAGAAATAAAGAGTGAGGCTAAAGTCGGAGCTGATCAGAGCTCTGCTCCTCATTCATCACCAGGTGCGCTAACGGACACAGACAACACCAGGGGCGACAGTCAGGGACTCCATTCTGTCTATCAGGGCTGCTGCAGTCTTCATGGAAAACAAAAGAAAATTCAAACATGTGATGTTACTCACCAGGGACAAAACACCATCCACAGCCCAAATTCAATATTCACTGCACTTATAACGTGTTTGTCTTTTACATTTTATTCCCTGTTTATGTATGTTGATACACTTGAAGTGCATCTGACAGAAAAGAGATTTGTAAATATTAGAGGTGTTGAAGCTAGTTCCCCTTTGAAGAAAATGGTCTTAAAATACTCATAAAGCTTTAGAAGGAAGGGCTAAATTTGACTGTTTTCTTAAAGATCCCAGCCCAGAATCAGATGCATTTACACTGGATCAAGCTGAATATTAAACTAAATCTGGTCCACATTTCACTCAGGTAACTTCACATGACAACAACCTGCAGCAGGTCGAGTGACCATTACTAGAAAGCTGCATCTGAGAGATCAGCTAAAGCTGATTGGCTCGATTTATTATTTCTTTATAAAATTATAATGATGTATCTCTAAATCAGTTCAGTCACGAGGTTTAAGTATAAAAGTGATTTATTTATAACAGCAATAACAATTCTGGAGCCCTGCAGAATTATTAATATTAGAAACATTCAGCTACTCTTATTTCAGAGTTTAAGCATCTTCCCTCGATTTTAAGTCTTTTGGCTTTACAGAAAATGTTTTAAAGAGCTTTTCTATGGTCACTTTGATTTGTGATTTTTGCTCCATATTTTTAAAGTAGAAACAACAAAAACAAATTTAAATTAAAACATGGCATCGACATCTGTTCGCTGCTGAACAAATAAAAGAAAGCACTGGTGAAGAGGTGGAGCTAAATCAGCATTTATCCCCTTTTTGTGTTTGAAAAATAAATCCATAGCAGAAAAGGCTGACCTGATACCGTGTGTGGTCACAGACTCCAGAGTTTGATATCCTGCTTTGGTCGTTGACCTTGACCTGATCCACTGGAAGTTCTGGACAATAAGCTGTACAAATAACATTAAAACATCAGCACAGATGCGTCAAGCTGTCCCATATGCAAAACCCTGGATAAGGTGAAGTGATAACGTTTTAGTGTTTTCTATCTAACATTTGTGAAATAATCTCCCTAATGTACAAAAGGCAATTCATGTTTCAAGTGCAATTAAATGAGCTGAAATTAGTTTAGAATGAACCAACACACAGACCGGTGTGAACACTGACCTCTTGGCGGTAGCACTTCTCACTGTGGTTTGTGTAGCGTAACGATAACGCTGTAGCTACATGAAGCAAAGTCTAGCATTAAACAGCTCAGGACCTGCTTAGTATTGAAGTTAAGCTTGACAGTAAATGCCAACAATTTGGTTCCTGCTTTCTCTATTTTTAAGACTTTGTGTTGTTGTTTTTTTCTCTTAGATAAAGAATATGACTCAAAGTCCACAAAGTTTACTTTTTATTTAAAAAACAAGAAAGGGAGCGAGGGAGACCATGCAGCTGGAGCAACAATGTTAATGTTCAATGTGTTATTTTTTGTACCGTTCAGGAATCAGTAAATAAGGGTAATTTCTGAAGAAGAAAGAAGCAAATGTTATTTATTATATATTGTTTAAAGTGTGTATTTGTTTTTATATTGATTAAATTAAAGTGTTCATGTGCAAAAGCTTTGGTGCTTTTTATTACAAAATAAAAGTAAACATTTGCATTTTTTTGTCATTCCTTTTATCCAGTATTGTAATTACAGTTTTGGGCTGGTTTTCGGCATCTGTTGGGTGTTTTTTAAACTGGAGCAAGAGCGATGCCCATGTTACTCTCCACTACTAAATGGGTTTTTTATTCTTCTGTCAACTTTAACGCCACCAAGCCAACACCAATGCAAATGGCTGTACACCAGAATGATCTGTATTTTGAGTCACCATGGCGACATAATTCACTCACAAAAGAAACACATCGAGTGAGGCCCTCCTAGGAATCTTTCTCCTTGTGATGGACTACATCACCATGAGCTTAGATAGAATTCATTCAAACTTTAATCAGGTCACAAGACTTTAAAGAAACAATAGCTACGTTTACAAGTAATTGAAATGAACACCCTATCAGATCAAACACTCTTCATGTAAACATGTCACTCGGAATATTCTGATCCGATGCGGCCCGATTGGAATGAAATTTCAGTCATTCATTCAATGGTTTTGTCCGATCATCATTCCAATTGACATCCATGTACACATCCATTTGGATTGCTGGAGTAAAGTAATGTCCACTGCGCATGTGTGCAACATAGTACTACCCATCGTCATTTGGATGGCCTGACTTCAAAGGTTACAGCCTAATTAACGAGCTACGGCTTTTAAATTTGATGGTAAGCTGTCCCCGTTTTCAGTAATGTCTAATCCTGGACAGAAGACGTAAAATAAAAATCAGATTATTGCACAACTCATTTGACAAACGTGTTCAAGTCTGTACTGGAAATAGGCAGATTCAGTTGCAGCACGGACCCCCGTGTCTGTCAACTTTGAACACAGAAGCTGTTTCTGCAGTAGGTGGATGGAGATGTGCTCGTAAAGGAGACAGGGTAGCATCGGTTATACAGACCTGGTTTGAGTTTAAGGAGGCTGATGTTGAGTAGAAAAACGTCCTCGGTTAAATGGTCTGGGTGACAGTAAAGTCCTATCTCTGTTAAAAGCAAGTTAACGCAGATGAGATGCGGCCGTCAGCAGGTGCAGGACCCTGAGCAGATGTAGAAACTAAGGCGCCAGAAAACTACAATCAGCATTGCATTCTCCCTCTGGAATTAACTGAACGACCATCAAAGTCTGAGGGGTCACGCCAAGGTCACATGCTTTCTGCTCCACAGGTAACATTTACCAAAAAGTTTTTTAACTAACAACAGTCACGGTGGTGTGGTGTAAAACAACCGAGAAATATACTGCCCCCTAGTGTCAGGACACTGCACACTGCCACTTTTATAGATTATAGTATATTATAGCATAACATATTCTATCATTTAAATAAAATCACAGTTTACGTTTTAAAACTTTGGCCAGTGTCTTATTGTGGTGGAATGATCCACCTACATGTGATCTAGATCGAGGAGCTGTGTAAGAGATAAATGCAACCTTCACAATCCCATTTTAGATTCAGATGTAGGGATGTTTATCTTCTTCTAATTAGTGTGTCTATCTTTGCTGTCAGACTTTGTTTACTTTCAAAACTCCCCAAATGACAGAGAGTGCAAAGTTGCTTGCGGGCATCATTTTAAACAAAACCCAAAACAAGAAATAAAGTCCTTTTTATAACGCTGTTTATTCAATATGAAACACAAACAGGAAACTTCCCACAAGTCACTTTTCAGGCTGTCTCTCTCTCTTTTATGTCCCTCCATTCTCATTATCTGTCTTTCTGCTCTTTTCTGCCTGTCTCCTCTGTTTGTTCAACATATCATTAATTCTTCTCAGCTATGAAAAATGGTGCACATAGTGGCAGGCACCATCAAAGTTTCTTCCTCTAGGTTATTCCAAGGCTTTTATGAGATAGCCATACCTGAGTTAGGTGGGTTGCATTCCTAATCACAAATGCTATTTTTAAAATAATCTTTAAACAGTACAACATTTGTTTATATCATCAAAATTATATTAGAAAAATAACAAAAGACCAATAACACATTTTCAAGTCTTGCAATAAACACAAAATGCAGTTGGACGTTATAAACTTTATTGCTCAATATTCTGCCCACACTTGATGCAAGTCGCATTTCAGTGGGTGTGTGTAGTCGATGCACATCAGGAAGAGGACAGGAATGGATTTTCTCCTATCTCTGTATGTGTGAATATGGTGTGAAACAAGTGCTGGTCATAAAATTAGAATATCATGGCAAAGTTCATTTATTTCAATATTTCTGTTCAAAAAGTGAAACTTGTGTATTACAATCATTCATTACACACAGACTGATACATTTCAAATGTTTATTTCTTTTAATTTTGACAACTATAACTGACGACTAATGAAAATCCCAAATTCACTATCTCAAAATATTAAAATATTATGAAATGGTTCAATATTAAAGACCCCCTGGTGCCACACTCTAATCAGCTAATTAACTCCAAACACCTGCAAAAGCCTTTAAATGGTCTCTCAGTCCATTTTTGTAGGCTACACAATCATGGGGAAGACTGCTGACATGAAAGTTGTCCAAAAGACAACCACTGACACCTTGCACAAGGAGGGCAAGACACAAAAGGTCTTTACTAAAGAGGCTGGCTGTCCAGAGCTCTGTGTCCAAGCACATTAATAGAGAGGCGAAGGGAAGGACATGATGTAGAAAAAATTGTAGAAGCAATAGTGATAACGGCACCCAGGAGAGGATTGTGAAACAAAACCCATTCAAAAATGTGGATGAGCTTCACAAAGAGTGGACTGCAGCTGGAGTCGGTGCTTCAAGAACCACCACGCACAGACGTATGCAAGACAGGTTTCAGCTGTCACATTCCTTGGGTCAAGCTACTCTTGAACAAGAGACAGCATCAGAAGCGCCTCGCCTGAGCTAAAGACAAAAAGGATTGGACCGCTGCTGAGTGGTCCAAATGTTCTCTGATGAAAGTAAAGTTTGCATCTCCTTTGGAAGTCAAGGTCCCAGATTATGGAGGAAGAGATGAGAGGCCCAGACTCCACATTGCTTGAGGTCTAATGTAAAGTTTCCACAGTCAGTCATGGTTTGGGGTGCCATGTCATCTGCTGGTGATGGTCCATTGTGTTTTCTGAGGTCCAAGGTCAACACAGCCATCTACCAGGAAGTTTTAGAGCACTTCATGCTTCCTGCTGCTTACCAACTTTATGGAGATGCAGATTTCCTTTTCCAACAGGACTTGGCACCTGCACACAGTGCCAAAGCTACTAGTACTGGGTTTTAGGACCATGGTATCCCTGTTCTTGATTGGCCAGCAAACTGCCCTGGCCTTAACCCCATAGAAAATCTTTGGAGTATTGTGAAGAGGAAGATGCAAAATGCCAGACCCAACAATACAGAAGAGCTGAAGGCCACTGTCAGAGCAACATGGCCTCTCATAACACCTGAGCAGTGCTACAGACTGATGGACTCCATGCCACGCTGCATTGCTGCAGTATTCCAGGCCAATGGAGTCCCAGCTAAATATTGAGTGCTGCACATGTTCATACTTTTCAGTTGGCCAACATTTCAAAAAAAAAAATTTTTTTTAACTGGTCTTAATTGATATTCTAATTTTCTCAGATACTGAATTTGGGGTATTCTTTAGTTGTCAGTTATAATCATCTACATTAAAAGAACATTTTAAGTATATCAGTCTGTGTGTAAGGAATTAATCTAATATACAGGTTTTCATTTTTTAATGGAATTAACGAAATAAATTAACTTTGTTATGATATTCTAATTATATGACCTGCACCCGTACACACGCACATACACACATACACACATGCACACACACACACACACACACACACACACACACACACACAATAATGCATACATAGTGGACATGTCAGCATGAATCTACAGTTTTTGGGTCTGCAGATGTGTACTATTGTTGAATTGACAATTGAAGTGTCTCATTTCCAGGTAGAATGGCTCACAAAAATAACTTATAATTCATAAAAAATTACAACTCAATAGTGCCAATTGTAATATGTTCTCATTGTCATGTTCTGTGTCCCTGTGGTCCCCAGCCCCCTCCAGGTTCCCCTCGTGTATCCTCTAATCTTCTGTGCCCCCCTTGTGGTCCCCATCTTCTTCAGGTTCCCCTTTAGTCACTTCACTTATCATTAGTTTATTTATCTTTAGTCTTTGTTCTACAGTGTTTAAAGTTCAGGTTATTTTAGTAGCTTAGGTTTAGGATTTAGATATGGCTTTCTCCCCTGCTTATTTCTGCTTCTTCCCTCAGTTCATTAGTTTCACCTGTGCCCAATTCCCCACGCACCTGCTCCTCGTCTCCTATCACCCAGCCCTGTGTATATAACCCTGTCTGTGTCTCTCAGTGTTTGTCGGTCCACTGCCTTTGTCAGCGTTGTTTTGTCCATCTCGAGTGTTCTCCTGTTCTTGCTCATGAGTGAGTTTCTGTTTTACCTTTTTGTCAGTGTTTTTGCCTTAGGATTTTTGCCCAGCCTCCTTTAATAAAGGACTTTATTTTCTTAAACCTCTTCTGCCTCGAGCTGTTCTGGTGTTCTGCCTCTTGGGTCCTAACCTCCTCCTGTGCCACACGTGACACTCATACATTGCACCTATCTTTGCTTTGGAAGGTGTAGATTCTTTAAATGTGAAACTCTAAACATATTGAATGTGTTAACAAGAATGTCAATTAAACATTTTTGCAGAAGAAAATTGATCCAGCTGGTACATGGTAATAATTCAGTCCCTGCTAGACACTTTTAATGACTTGTTCACCCACAGGGCAACACTTTCAGCTAGTCTGTAGCAGTCCAGGTCGCACAGCTCATTCATAAAGTCTGTTAAAGATGCTGCTGAAGCTGGTTGAGAAGATGTGGTATAACAAATTCTGCCTCTCACTGATCTGAAAGGAAAAGCTTTGCTTTTACTGTTAACTGAGATTCACATTAAGTAAAAATACAGAGACTTTACTGAAATAATAAAGTAATATTAATAAATGCACTAAAAAGTCTTTCTTATTTTAAATATGAGCCACCAGTCATGTTTGGTAGCTAACTGTGCTAATGAAGGTGTCTCATGATCCAGTCATGAGTTTGATGAGCAGCACTGTCTCCACTCACTGAGCAGGTCATGTATGCTGGTCCAAACACCAAACGCTGATGCTGTGTTTTTCTGTTATGTGAGGCCTTCTGCATGTTGCAGTGTTCTTGTCTTGTCACCACAAAGTTATGTTTTCAAGTTTAGCAAACCCTGGATTCTGTCTGAGTTCCCAGTAAGTCCCAGTGTTCAACCACACGTCCCGTCCAGAAGAATCTTTGGCTTTCCTGGGGACAAACCAACAAAGGAAGATGGTTGTTTAACAACTCTGAAATTGCTGTAAAGTCACTGACACTAGTCAGTGACTTGATGCAATTTGCTGGGTTCCTTATATAGGAAACTTTTTTCTGATTGGCTTAATAAACTGACCTGTATTGGAATGTTTATTATGTGAAGTGCCTTGAGATGACTCTTGTCATGATTTGGCGCTATATAAATAAACTTGAATTGAAAATGATTTTCCTATCATGCACAGGAAAGCAGAGCATAAGCCCAAACCCAGAAAGATGATGTGGGCAAAATCCTTTTAAAACAGTTGGACCCAGAGGCTGTCTATCTCCATCAGTCAGCAGGCAAAAAGCAGGGATGGTGATTTCTATACAGTTCAATTGTCCCATTATGCATTCAGCTTAATTGGCCCAACCAAACCAAACAGTCCTTTGAGAAGTACCTAACTCACCTGAAAAACCGTGGAGTGTGCTCTGAACCCTTTTTAGCTAGCTCTTTTCTCCGCTCCCTCTGGAGTTCTTCTATCTCGTCTTTCTTTCTATCGGCTCCAGAGACGTTTCCCTCCTCCAACATTCTGCAGCAAAGGGACAAATGTTGCAGCAATGAACGATATTAAATCATGTACTTTTTATTTATTACTAAGTAAAAGAGAGGGCACTCTGGGCCACCCTGCTACTGTCCCCGTGACCCGACCCCAGATAAACAGTTGAAAATGGATGAATGGGGGACGCTCCAGGAGTATGTGGTGGGTGGCTTTCTGTTAAGAGCCATTCAGTCCCTTTACCAGAGGAGCGTGAGTTTGGTCCGCATAGCCGGTAGTAAGTCGGACCTGTTCCCGGTGAGGGTTGGACTCCGCCAGGGCTGCCCTTTGTCACCGGTTCTGTTCATTACCTTTATGGACAGAATTTCTAGGCGCAGCCGTGGTGTGGAGTGTGTCGAGTTTGGTGGCAGGAGAATGTCGTCTCTGCTTTTTGCGGATGATGTGGTCCTCCTAGCTTCATCCAGCTCCGACCTTCAGCTCTTGCTGGGTAGGTTCGCAGCCGAGTGTGAAGAGGCTGGGATGAGGATCAGCACCTCCAATTCTGAGACCATGGTTCTCAACCGGAAAAGGGTGGCTTGCCAACGCTGGGTCGGGGGAGAGGTCCTACCTCAAGTAGAGGAGTTTAAGTATCTCGGGGTCTTGTTCACGAGTGGGGGTAGGAGGGATTGGGAGATCGACAGGCGGATTGGTTCGGCATCTGCAGTGATGCGGACGCTGAGCCGATCTGTCGTGGTGAAGAGGGAGCTGAGCCAGAAAGCCAGGCTCTCGATTTACCGGTCGATCTACGTCCCAATCCTCACCTATGGTCATGAGCTTTGGGTAATGACCGAAAGAACGAGATTGCGGATACAAGCGGCCGAAACAAGTTTCCTCAGGCTCAGCCTTAGAGATAGGGTGAGGAGCTCGGACATTCGGGAGGGACTCTGAGTAGAACCGCTGCTCCTCCAGATCGAAAGGAGCCAGTTGAGGCGGTTTGGGCATCTGGTCAGGATGCCTCCTGGATGCCTCCCTGGGGAGGTGTTTTGGGCATGTCCTGCCGGCAGGAGGCCCCCGGGTCGACCCAGGACACGTTGGAGAGGTTACATCTCCAATCTGGTCCGGGAACGCCTTGGGGTCCTGCCGGAGGAGCTGGTGGAGAAGGCCGGGGAGAGGACGGTATGGAGCTCCCTAGTTGGTATGCTGCCCCGCAACCCGGACCCGGATAAGCGGAGGAAGACGACGACGACGACAAAGTGCTTTATAGTTAATGAGCGTCAGAGGTGGAGACAGATGACCAGACTCACAAAAATTAATTAGTAGGTAACAGATTATTAATTTTTTTAAGTAGGTAACAAATTCTAAAGCAACTGAACAGCTGTTAGAAGCAAAGGAAATGTGGAAACACACAGTTATATCAGTGAGGAAACGTATAAGAAGACGGTGAGTCAATATTACAAAATGAGACGGTAATGAAAACACAAATCATAAAATAATGAGGAGTACCAAATACATAAAGTTTCCAATACTAACAAGATTAATTTTGAAATAAAGATCTATAAACCTGTATTGCTTGCATTGTTTTGTTTTTGATGGGGGGTGTTTGTTTGCTTTTTTGTCTGATAGGTACTGGTTGTATGTACATAATCATTAAAGGTGTGGAATACCAAAAAAACATTTTAATGATTATTTCTGATTATAATCGGTCACTCATGAAAATGGTCTTCTACACCTGTCTCCTGCTTTAGCTTCTGATAAAAAATAAAACCTGACAGATCTTCGTCACTTTGGCACTTAACATTCATGGACTCACCCATCTTAATTCATGAACGGAAGGCTGTTGTTTTAGCTTCCAGGAAACAGCAGAGAACGTCTCAGCTAGTAGAAGCTAAGTGTTGTGCATTAGCAACTTCACCACATAGCAGAACTCCTCCAAACTTGTGTTATTTATAGAGATAAAACATCCATGTTGCAAGTCAGTGGTAGAGTTGTGTTATCCAATCTGAGACGGGATATTCAAATATCATGAAATGGGACTCCATCCCACCACCCCACCCCCGAGTATGATTAACAAGGCATTCATTCCTCCTAGATACCACTGCAAAAGTTTTCCACACCTTTAATGTGCTAGCAGAATGCTAAAAAAAACAGAAATTTGTAGATTAATGTTAAAAATAAGCTAAAGTTGCTTTTATAAAATGACATATGTGCAGAATTAAACAAAATATGAAAACTAGGTTTTTAAAAAGGCTTAACAGATTAAATTATTCTAAATCTTGCTAAAATCATTGTCCCATCTAAAAGCCAGATTGAAGAAGATTCGTCTAAAAACATCCAGTGTCTTCCAGAGGACCTGATGTCTGCTGACATCCTCTGAAGAGTCATTAAATGATGTTGTCTTGTCTTCCTGTATTTTACAGACCCAACAGATGTCTGACCTTTGGTCCGGGCGCAGCCGAGTGTCGGTAGGAGGCAGGAAAGGTCTCAGGTCTGGGGTTAACTCGTTAAGCTCCATGGCAAAGGTGGAGAAGCCGTAAAACTGCAGATAATCCTTGGGCTGGGAATCTGTGGGAGGACAGAAGCCTCTCAGATGAGCTGTTTCACAAACGTGACACTTGGATTTATGCTGATTAGGGCTGTTGGCAGCAGCTTCATCTCTTCACTTCCACCTAAACCTTAAACCAGCATGTGCAACCCAAGGCATTATTATAAAGTCAGAAAAACAGACTCACTTGGCTTCCAAATGCATTTTGGTGTTGGCAGAGTGTCACAGAAGATCCCTTCGTGCCAAAGACCTCCAAACCGGTGGATCACGCTCCCGCCTTGGTCGAGAACTGTACCCTGCACTTCGTTCTTGTTTGTGTCAGAACCCCAATACCGAGACTAGAGGAGAAGAAGAAACCAGCTAATAAAAGTCGTATTAGATGATTAATTTAGTTCACACAGGAAGGGGTTTGTTCACCTTGACAAAGGTGATCTTGCAGGTGCATGTGCTGTTCTTCAGGTTTTGGATGGTCACCTCTCCATAATGCTCCAGATACCGCTGCTGGCTGAGGACATTATGGATGCAGGTCACCACCTTGTTCCACTCATAGTGATCTCCGTACCTGAACACGTTCAGAACATCGTGTTAGGACCTGAACAAACACGAGAGTCAAAGTCTCTCTGCTCACAACTTCTCATTTAGGAAATTCTTTTCTGTTTTATTATCATCTGTGGTGCACATTTTGTTATTTATTCTTAACTGTTGTTTATCAAAACAAATATAATAAAACAGTTTTGTGAGCATAAAATGCATGTTTTACTTGTTTAAACTCTATTCGACCAAATGTTCAATCAACCAATTCTAAAAAGATGAAATCCTTTGAATAATCTTTGCTAAATGTAACACAATTCAAACCAAAACAAAGAACAGCAGATGCTGTGGACCTAATATCATTGTCTAATCATTTGAATAGCACCAGTTGCCATATTTGTTCCATGACTCTTTTGAAAGTGCTAGCAATGATTTAAACATTAAACACATTTTGCTTTATCCAGTAACACTCTGGGTCTCAGAGTTTTAGATTGAGACCTAGACCATTATGGAACCACTGGTTTTCAGAACCTCCTTTCAGTCAGAACTTCGTCTACCTTCAAAAATCTCTTTAATACTCATTTGGTCCAAGGCCGTAACACCTCTAACACATCTAATCCTACCCCTTTACCTTTTCTACTTGTCCTTATAAACAGATTTAGCTCTTAATGCTGAAGCGAGGGTTTTACTCTGTGTGGAAGAACAGGAAGTTGTTCCTCAGACATACATCAGAGTAAGAACAGCTGCTTAATGAGAGCATGTAAATATGTTTCAGCCTAATTATTATCATCTCTGGGTTCATGTTCTGAAAATAGGGTTTTGTTTAGTGTGTTTCGTCATCTGACAGAACAGCATAATAAACCACATAAACGTATTTTTACCTCGATAATGTGACATTGACCATTCCTGTTGGCAAAATCTCCAGCGACTTTCCCCAGAACTTATTTTTCCATCGTTGATCTGTTAGGATATATCATTATATGCAGATGACGCACTGCAGCAGGAGAACATTAATATATAACACAAGACTCACCTTGCCAGAATGTAAAATTTTCAGACTCAGCATGACAGGCAGAGATGGGTGGATGGTGGCAGACCTGGTGGAGGAGAGGAAATCACAAGACCTGTCTTTCTCATTTTTAACCATTGCAGACCAGACAGCCAGAAATAATAATAGGGAATAAAAGGGGAAAATGGAGTTCAAGTTATTCAGCCACAATTAAAATCATGTCAGCAGGATGCTAAATATGGCAATAAAACGTGAAAGATTTCTGAGGGTTTTCAGTCGTTTATTTATTTATTTATTTTTGTATGTCTTGTGTTGCAGGAATTTTTAATGTTTTCCAATGATTTACACATTTCCCCATGAAACAGGTGTCCAGAACTGGCCCATAAGCCTTCTCAGTTTAGTTTTCTTTAGTCCAAATTTTTGACAAAAAAAAACCTTTGAGAGGGTTTGGTGACCAAATTGTGAACAAAACAAGTTTTAAATACGTTTTGTAAGTTTTGTCATGAATATTTGCTCAACTATTGTAATTTCTTTGCAAGTGCAACAGATGATTGCACATATACAGGTGCTGGCCAGTAAATTAGAATATCATCAAAAGGTTGAAAATATTTCAGTAATTCCATTCAAAACGTGAAACTTGTACATTATATTCATGCAATGCACACAGACCAATGTATTTCCAATGTTCATTACATTTAAATTTGATATTTATAGGTGACAACCAATGAAAACTCCAAATTTGGTATCTCAAAAAATTAGAATATTCTGAAAAGGCTGAATATAGAAGACACCTGCTGCCACTCTAATCAGCTGATTTACTCAAAACACCTGCAAAGGCCTTTAAAAGGTCCCTCAGTCTTGTTTTGAAGGCACCACAATCATGGGGAAGACTTCTGACTTAACAGCTGTCCAAAAGACAATCATTGACACCTTGCACAAGGAGGGCAAGACACAAAAGGTGATTGCTAAAGAAGCTGGCTGTTCGCAGAGCTCTGTGTCCAAGCACATTAACAGACAGGCGAAGGGACGGAAAAAATGTGGTAGAAAAAAGTGTACAAGCTCTAGGGATAACCGCACCCTGCAGAGAATTGTGACGACAAACCCATTCAAAAATGTGGGGGAGATCCACAAAGAGTGGACTGCAGCTGGAGTCAGCGCTTCAAGAACCACCACGAGGAGACTCATGAAAGACATGGGATTCAGGTGTCGCATTCCGTGTGTCAAGCCACTCTTGAACAAGAAACAGCGCAAGAAGCGTCTCGCCTGGGCCAAGGACAAAAAGGACTGGACTGATGCTGAGTGGTCCAAAGTTATGTTTTCTGATGAAAGCAAGTTCTGCATTTCCTTTGGAAATCAAGGACCCAGAGTCTGGAGGAAGAGCGGAGAAGCACAGAATCCACGTTGCATGAGGTCCAGTGTAAAGTTTCCACCGTCAGTGATGGTGTGGGGTGCCATGTCATCTGCCGGTGTTGGCCCACTCTGTTTCCTGAGGTCCAGGGTCAATGCAGCCGTCTACCAGGAAGTTTTAGAGCACTTCATGCTTCCTGCTGCTGACCAACTTTATGGGGATGCAGACTTCACCTTTCAACAGGACTTGGCACCTGCACACAGTGCCAAAACCACCAGCACCTGGTTCAAGGACCATGGTATCCCTGTCCTTGATTGGCCAGCAAACTCGCCTGACCTTAACCCCATAGAAAATCTATGGGGTATTGTGAAGCGGAGGATGCAATACGCTAGACCCAACAATGCAGAGGAGCTGAAGACGACTATCAGAGCAACCTGGGCTCTCATAACACCTGAGCAGTGCCACAGACTGATCGAGTCCATGCCACGCCGCATTACTGCAGTTATTGAGGCAAAAGGAGCCCCGACTAAGTATTGAGTGCTATACATGCACATTCTTTTCATGTTCATTCTTTTCAGTTGGCCAACATTAGAGAAACAAACATTTTTTCATTGGCCTTTAGAATATTCTAATTTTCTGAGATACCAGATTTGATGTTTTCATTGGTTGTCACCTATAAATATCAAATTTAAATGTAATGAACATTGGAAATACATTGGTCTGTGTGCATTGCATGAATATAATGTACAAGTTTCACGTTTTGAATGGAATTACTGAAATATTTTCAACCTTTTGATGATATTCTAATTTACTGGCCAGCACCTGTACAAAAATAGCCCCAAAAATGTCATTTGTACCAGTTCATTGTGAATCCAACGGACACTTCACCGGTCCGATTCTGTCCTCCACCCGCTGCACGGTGGACTGCTTTGTCCTCTCTGACCAGCTTGTGTGTAAGCCAGCTTGGTCCAACTTCTAAACTAAATTGAAGAAATCTGGCCCAGCCTGCATTCAACCTGGGTTCCCTGCATGTAAGTCAGTGGCTCTGCCCACAGCCCAGAGGCAAATTTTTTATGAGCTACTGACACTATGTATAAACTACTAGAAAGCGGCACAGGTTTTGTGATTTTGGCTAAAAACAATATAATCGTATCAAAGACCACTGAGAAATATTTAAAACAGCTAAGAAAATTATTAGAGTGAGACTTTAAGGGGTTGGATTGGGAGGTTAAACCACCATAATTCCCGAGCACAGCCACTTCTGCAGCTCACCCCTCCCCACAGGCATGGGTCAAATGCAGAGGTGTAATTTCACCAGAGTGTGGTTATGACTAATAGGACTTTACAATCCAGAAATCCCAAACAGTCCAAATGATGAACTATGTTGTGTAAAGAGTTAATTGCTTTGTTGATGAGTAGTGCTGATTCATTTCCACCTAACGGCAGCTGGTTTAAAATTAACAATTTTTTATTTTATTTTATTAAAACAGTAAATCACTATGAGTTTCCTCATGCAGCTCTATGAGAGGGAGTGTCTCAGTTATCCCAGAGAACAATCTATCCTAATTCATCAAGAGGAGATGATGGAGGCTCATCTATTCTTACTAAAGGGCACCTGCAGCCTCTACAGCCTAGCAAATGAAACAATGAAACATGTCAGTCTCAGATACCTGCTCGCTGATGAAGCGGAAGCCCCGATCCTCTCGGATACATTCGTAGGTCTCCCCCAGCACCGGGTTAAAGGGCTTGTAGCGGTTCCTGAATGTTGCAGTGGTGTAACCGGAAATGGCAAAGGCAGCTATGTAAACCTGTATGTGATCAAAAACAGTAAATTAGCCCTGTCTTTAAGTCCTTGCTTAAAACTCATTTATTCAACCTGGCTTTTATGTAGGATGATTTTATTTTGTCATTGTCAGTCTTTCTCTTTTTTTTATTGATTTTATAATTATGTGATGAAATGCTGTTTTTATCCTAACTTGCTGATTTTTATGGTTTTATGGTTTTTAGTTATACTTGTTTGCGATTTTATCTTCTGTGTTGTACAGCACTTTGGGAAGCGGAAGCAATAATAAGTGTGCTTTAGAAATAAATGTGACCTTGACCTTGACCTGTTTGTTCAGCACTTAGGTCAGCTGTAATGCTGTGTTTTAAATGTGCTTTATAAATAAGGGAAGGATGGATAAATGAAGATTTTTGTGGATTTTTTCCAACAATGTACCAAGAAATGTTAACATCACAACATTAAACAATATGTTCTTTAAATTTTGAATAGTTAATGGTTCAAAGATTTATGTTTTTGTATGAATATTTATAAGATGTGTATGATGGGTAATCACATTTTTCTGAAACTGTCTGGAAAATAATGGGATACTAAGCAGTTTTGGCTTGCGTTTACCACCCCCTAGTGTCTGTTTAGTAAAACCAAAAGTAAAACTCTGCTCCTTGCTGTGTGTTTGTCTTTTTAACACCTTAATCTAACAGCTGAAATGTCTCCTCAGCCTTCATTAATTTCTGCAGGAGCGGTTCATCACTTGTTATGGAAAAATTTATGTTTATTAATTATTGATCATTGACTCAATCAACTGAATGTAAATGTATTGCTCTGTGCCTCTTTGCATGACTTCCCCCCCCCCCCCACACACACACAGAGTCTCTCTCTCTCTCTCCATCTCTTGGTATAAATAAACTCTGTGAACAGATGTTCAGGCATTTAGCCTCGTGCATTATGCCACAGTTATAACTGTTTGACTTGTCTGCTCATTGTCTCCTTCGCTCTTCACTAAAGGAAATGGGTTATTGATAAACACATTGATAAAATCCATGACATTAAGCTGGGGTCCCATCGCCTCACGGCGCCAGGAGCTGACGCCGGAAAACTGTCGACAACCTAAATCTCCTCCGGCGCTGTGCTTTCGCTGAGGGTCGGTGTGAGGATCTTGACGTCGCTGGGGGGGATGCGGATCCACAAATTACTCAAAACCTGAGTGGAGAGATTTGGTGAGACAAGTTTGTTGTTTGTTTTGTGGTACCGAGAGAAAATCCTGGGTGACTAGAGGTCAAAATTTGGTGTCGACCGCCTTGACTAGGATGGTTTTGACGGGTTATTTTGAATGCTGTCTGTATTGGCTTGGTTTTCAGCATTTTAGCCAAAATTAGAAATGCATCTCTGGTGTGAGAAATAAGTGACCGGTGTGGTAACTATTGAGATTCAAATTATGGTGATGTCCGCCTTGAATAGGATGGTTTTGACAGGTTCCTTGAATCCTGTAAAGTGGTGATGGTTTTAACAGATTCTCTGAACGCTGTCTGTATTTGGCTTGATTTTTGAGCATTTTAGCCGGAGAATTAGAAACGTGCTCTAGTTATCTGTGTTGTTGTTTGTTGTCTTAGTTGTCTGCTTTAATTGTTGTTTGGATAAATGAGAGAGTGTATGGATTTGCTTTGTACGTGTGGTATCTAATTATGGGGGAATAAGAACTCACAAATACCTTTTTGAATGAAGATGGTACATTGATGGAAATGTAAATCCAGCAAATGGGGAAATGATTTGAATCTTATCAGAGCACAGACGCTTCTGCTTTGCTCCCTTATCTTTTTTTTCCCAAGGCTCTTTTGTCCTGTCTGCCTACAGAGCGCTTCTCTGCATTTCCTCTGGAAATCCCTATTTTTCAGAAATGGATTAAATTAATTGGTCATTCAACGCGATTGATAAGATTTTTTCTACGATGAGAACGGAGGAGGGGGCTCCCACTTGCCCTCATGGGACACACGCAGCGGGATATATGCTACATTCCTGGAAGGAGTGGAAGGTCGTCTGTCTCTCTCAGCTGTCCATTGAGGACGTCAAAGATATGTGGATATTTGGCCTGATGATCACTGGATTTCTTCTGATTGGAGTGGGAGGATATCTGGTTTTCCGGAAAATTGGGAAGACGGGAGCGATTGGAGCGCGACCCGCACCCATGGACAGCACTGTCCGAGCGAAGACCTCACAGACTGGGACGTTACTCAAGGTGAATCGTAAGCTGGACAATGTCTTAGCTGCGTTACCGGTGTTAGTGTGCAAAATGGATGTCATCTCGGAGAGGGTCACCGGACGGTGTGGAGATGTTTAATAACCCGAATTGGCTTCACTGAAGGACTGGAATGACCAGTTACAGACCAGTGTTAATTTTGACAGGAAATTTTAATTTTATTTTAGTCTTAGTCTTTTGGCTAAAAATTAATTTTAGTCTTAGTCCAATTTTAGTCATTGGATTTATTTTAGTTTTAGTCCCATTTTAGTCGACGAAAATAACAAGTAATTTTAGTCGATAAAAATAAGCAATTTTAGTCAACAAAATGCATATATTTTTTCTAATGAAGTAATTTCATACTTTTGTATAGAGCACGGAAAAACTAGTGTAATTTAATACACAGGGTCCAAACTCTTAACCACCACTGATCAGATATAGCACACACAGCTAAGAACATAGAATATTTGAATAAAAAAACACTTCACATGTTTAACACTTACGTGTTTAATAAAAAAACAAAAAGCACACTGGAAATTACAAAGGTGCTCTTTTTAGCAATTGCACAACAAGAATTTACAAGAACAGCAAATTTAAACATGTTAACCCTGAGTCTGTAGATATTCACTTGTTACAACACAGGCTCAACCAAACAGTATGAATATTTATTTGCTGCGATTCATTTTGAGAAAAGCACTTCGTGCTAGTGTGACCTTTGCTCGGTTGCGTTTCCCTCTAGTGAGGTCACCTGTGATACTGAACACTCTTTCTGCAAAAGACTGAGAAGCTGGCATTGCCAATATATCTAATGCTAATGGTTTCAGGCTGTGATAAAATGTGTCACATTTTCCAAGCCAAAACTCCTTTCCTGTTTCACAAGTGATGGACTGTGAGAGCTCTTCCTTATACTGGCTTATCTGCTGTCTTACACTACACTTGGAAGATTTTGGTTTAGGCTTTGTTCCGAATTTGGAGAGAAACCTAAAGACTGGTTGTCTGGAGGAGGAGGAGGCAGATGATGAAGAGGAGGCGGCGGCGGGTGGTGCCGGTTCAGGTCCATTCAGTTCCTCCAGATCAGAGTGGTTCTCCTGTGTCTGAGAGCACCAAACAACATACCCTTCTGCCTGCTTGAGCAGCTCCTGAATGTTATCATCAGCCACATTGAGGAGGGTCTGACACACAGTAGGATTGAGAAAGCAAGCAGCTGCTACAAGTGGGGAAAACTTGTCATCTGAGGGATCAAGTACCCAGGCAAAGCGCTGGTTCACATTCCCTTCCATTTTACGGGCTAGAGCAGCAACATCTCGACTTGTGTTTTGTTCCACATCTGCCAGATGGCTGAGTAAATCAAAGAGAGCAGGGAGTATTAATGACATCGACATTGTGTCACTCTGAAGAGTTTGTGTGTGTTCAGCAAAAGGCTGCAAAAGTTCTTGCATTGACTTCAGCTTCTGCCACTCACTTGAGAGCAAGCAGTCCCATCCCATCTCGTTTGCTACTTCACAAACAGATTCTTTAACTTTGAGGAGACGTGCAACCATTTCATAAGTACTTGACCATGGGGCAGTCATTCACAACAGTTAGGCCGCACTCATCCAAAATCTTCTGTGTTGCGACTGATGACTTGCGAAAAAGTTTCACGATTGATCGGACTTTGTTCAAGACTCTGTTGATGCTTTCCTCCTTGTTTATCATGTGGACAACAAGCTGCAGCGTATGGACGACACATGGCATCCTGTCCATGCCCATGTCCTGACACTGCAGGTTTTCTGTCTCCTTGGAATCACTTTCACTTAGGATGGATGCATCTGGATCATCGGAGCTGGAATCTTCATCTTCTGGAGCACTATGTTTGAATGCTGCCACCATATTGCTACCATTGTCTGTTATTACGGTGAGAACTTTCTCATTTGGGATCCCCCATTCTTGCATGCACTTTTCCACACAAGCCTTAATGGACTGGGCGGTGTGCGGATGGTCAAGTTGTTCAAGAGCTAGCAGTAAGTGTTCTGGTTTTTGTCGTTCAACACAGAAAAAGCAGCAACTTATGCCAAGGAATGATGCCGTCAGTCCCTTTTTAGTCCACAGATCAGTCCCAATACATACTTTTCTGGCACTAGACAGTCTTTTCTTAAATGTAGCTTTTTTGTTTTCATAGTGTTTTTCAATTAGATTACTTATCTTGGTTTTCTTTGGCACAGTAAACTTCTTATCCAAACTTTCCATCATCAGAATAAAATCCTCATCTTCTACTGTTGTGACCGGCAATCCTGTACATCCAATCCATGTAGCGATAGCCTCTTCTTTAATTTGTTGTTCTTTGGCATCACTCTTGTACTTTGTAGTACTTGTAAATGCGTCCTCAATGTTCTGGTTGGACATTTTTGCTTTTTTGGTAGCTGGTTGGCCACCATCAGCAATGGTTTTCTGCAACTGCAAAAAAATAAAAATACACAATTAAAACATTGACTTTCTAACAATGATTTACCTGTTGCTTTTGAGATTTCATACATTATATTATATATATATACATACACACACACACATAAACATCTGTGCGGGCTCGGGACTCGGATCATATTAGTGCAAACCAGACATTGTGAAAATTATAAACAGCCAACAGCATGCTTCACTTTACTGGTCTAGTCCTGGTTTAGAGCGCACGTGCAGCGAGCGGCTGTGACCCAAAAAGTACCAGAACCGCTCACGGCGCATGCGCAATCATGCATCAACACTGCTCGCCCGCTATTTCCCTAATAACACACGTTATAGTCATGAAAATACGGTACTTCCGA